GGATGCAGCTCAGCCTTGTGGTGCTTTTCCCATCATCGATGTCGATCGCGGCACTGGGAGACCCGGCTGGAAATGGGGCTACGGGGGATCCCAGCTGATGTGACCAGGTCGGATTTGGTCTGTGCATCTGGGATTTGGGGCAGAGCATCTGTGCAAAGGGAGAAAGTGTGGCTAATAAAGCAGCAGTTCTGCTGGGCGTTTTCCTTGGTGGGTTTGTAGCCACGACAAGAACAGAAAGCCAACTGGGCGAAGGGCTGCTTATCCTCTCTGGCTCCCAAACGGGGCTGCTGGGGAGGTGGCCAGATGGGAAGGAAGGGGCAGGACGGGGAGGTGTTTTCAGGCAGGCAGAGGTTCCCTGTCCCACTAATCGCTGTGGCCTAGTTGGGTGTCTGCAACAAGAACGGGGCTAATCCTAATCCAGGGCGAGGATAAAGGGCCACAAGTGCCGCGTGCCAGAGAGCCACGTTCTGGTTGGCACTGGCCACCATGCCTTGGTTTAGTGCCCTAAGCCCTGGGGTCAGTCCAGCTACCCCAGACCAGGGTTAGCTGGACCTGCCCTTTGGGATAGAGTCAGAGCTGCTTCAGGGCCTTGGTCTGTCCATTGCTGCCAGGGGACACCCTTCCAACCCCACTGCTGCCAGCACAGCGGAGGACAAACACACAGAGCTCATGTTTCAAGTTGTGTGTGGCTTTTCAACCCCATCAAATAGCTTTATTCACACAAACGTCCCTTAATTTACAAAGCCTCTGCCATTCATACACATCAGGGGATCCACAGTGTTCAAAGAACTTAAATAGAACATCTCATACCAAACCCGAGTAAACCAAGTACAAAAAATATTTATATAAAGTTGTTCACACATAGGTCCTAGATTACCAGCTTCTGTGCAAAAAAAAAAAAAAAAAAAAAAAAAGAAAAATACAGATTCATTTACTAATATTATCTTTAGTTTGGAGTCTGGGTTTAAGCCTTCTGCTCTTGCTAGCTCAGCACAGGGGCTGTGGGGACCAGGAGGAGTCCACAGCAGGGCTGGGGCAGGGTGCCTGTCCTGGGGGTCAGCCAGCACCCCAGTGGTGTGGCAGTGAAGCTGCTCATCCCTGCAGAGCTGCTGCGTTTTGCTGGGTGAATGAGCTGAAGGCCCATGGTGGGCTGGGCAGCTGCTGGGAAGGGGAAAGGTGCCAGGATGGGGATCAGCAAGCACCCCTATGTGGCCCATGAGCTCTTCCAGCAGCCTAGACATCACTCTCAAAGCTAAAAGCACTACAGGCAGGCTACAGAGAAATAATGTGGCAGGTCACAGCTGGAAGAGAGCAGCTCTCTGTGCTTCCCTCCCAGCTGCACCCACCACCCCAGACACCCTGGAGTGTGAAACGCTTTTGGACATGAAGGGCCACACTGTGGGATGTGCCTGTAACCAGCAGAGGAGCACAGGAGCTGCTGGCACAGCTCTCCCCAGGCCAGTGACAGCTCCTGGGTGAGGGAGCCAGCAGCAGGAGCGTTGGCTGCATCCTGCTGCCAAGGGATCGGGGGGCTCTGCTTTCCAAATGCTGCCCCAGCTGATGGGATGGGGAGGGCTGTGAAGAGTGGAGTAAAGCCCACAGCCTGCTCCTGTGGCACGGCCGAGCCGGCACAGCACTGAGCACCACACACCCATCCCATGTCAGCATCGCCAAAAAGGGGAACAGGAGCCCCCCTCGCCCCACGCAGTTCTAGTGTGAGGCTCAGGCAGCAGAGGCCTGTGGTGAGGAAGGAAAGCAGCAACGGGTTTCCCTGTTCTCCTGACCAGCAGAAAGCCCAGGGAAATGAATCCCAGTTTGTGCCCTGAAGCAGCTGTCCCATGATGCTTGGCAGGCTTAAACCCAGACTCGAACTGCATACGGAGGAGACAGACACCGCACACAACGGAGGATTTCCACGACGATGGTAATGCTCGTTTTACATCTTATTGCTCCAGAAAGGCTCCGGGAGCCTGTGATATGTGAAGGAGCTGGGTCCTGAGGAGTAAAGGAAGACCACAGGGGTAACTCTTATCTGTCACTAGCACTGCTGAACCTCAAACACAGCAGCAAGGGGATATGGGGAAGCTAATCTAACCCCTCTAGGCTAGAGCCACCTCTGCTTTTCTCCCCATGGACCAAAGCTGGCCGGGAAATCCCCGTGACACCTGCATGATGCCGGTGGTGTCAGCCTTGCTGCAGGCTGGTGCAGATAACATGTTTCCCAATCCTCCTGAGGCTTGGCTTGTTCCCCCCACCCACCCCACATCCCTCTTGTAAACAGCAAAGTCAGAAGTAAACAGTTTCATACAATCACTCCCCCGGCGTGGGCACCGGCTGGGGCCGCATGAGCCCAGAGGGCGACAGGGTTCTGCAACAGGGGCCTTGGCTCCCCCCCCCCACTGACCAGGTACCCCCTACCTGGATGCCCAGCTTCACTGCAGCCACAAAAGACAGAGCCAGCCTGGCCCAGGCTGGGTAATGGGCTGCAGGCTTGGTGTTGCTTTCTTAAGCTCGGGTTTTCCCAGCTGCGCATCCTAATGCCAAGAACATCCACAGCGGAGGGTGAAGTTCAGCCTGCAGGAGCTTAGGCAGGTGAGGCCAGATAGACCCACCTGGCAAGAGAAGCCTAAACATCCTCTATCCCACAGCACATGCAGGTTTGACTGTTCCCTGTTCCCAGCTTGTTCTAGAGGGAGTGCTGATCTGGGCCAAAGTAACTGGGAGGAGAGATGTGGGGAGCTGTAAACACAAGGCAAGTTCCTGTATAGTCTGGGGAGTTGAGCACAAACAGCAGCAAAATCATCAGGGAGAAATGCTCTTAAAAGGACAAACTAATCAGGGAAACATCCACATTGGCCAAAGGCTAGCAGCCCTAGGACTCCTCCTGGGAAGTGTTTGCTAAATCCTAAGTAAGGCACTACGGTCTAGCTCACTAACATCAAGCTGCTTTAAAAACACATCTGCAATTCAAAAGCTGAGGTGGAGACGTGTGGTTTGAACACGGCCTGAAACAGCAGTGGACCAAGAGGACTGACCCTCCCAGGGCCTGCTGGGCTCATTCCTGTCCCCAGAGAGGAGCAGGAAGCTGGCAGCTGGCTGGAGGCAATGGTCCCAGGGAGCAACCCCACTCAGTGCCTTCCATCCTAACCTCCTGCCTTTCAGGCTTGGTATTCCTGCTGCTAGGAAGCTCCCTTCAACGGTGATGAGATACCTGCTGAGGTGCCATTCCAGCAGGGAAAGCCCTGTGAGCAGGGCTGGGAGGACAAAACCCTCTTATTGCACCCGTTCAGGCCAGGGTTCGGTTAGAACAGTTGTAACAGTCAGGAGCAAAGGCTCTGCCAGGTGGAGGAAGGATGGGTCCAGTGATCAGGGCACTAACACTGCACTTGTGAGCTACAGGGTTCACTCTCCCCCTCCTCAGGGATGCAACACAGAGAGCTGCAGGAGAGTCTCACCTGGCTGCACCCTACAGAAGCATCCCTAGGGAGAAACACAAAAGCAGTGTGAGAACAAGGGCTTGGCGCTGAATCTGTGCTGTCTGAACCTTCACAAGTCACAGACAGATGGTCTGGAGCCTCCTGGTCCTCCTAAGAGGGACTTGGCCTTCCTGCAGCCACAGCCCTTAGCTTTGTGTCCTGGAATAGATGTAAAAGAAGAAAGAAGCCCCTCCCTCCTTTCTCTGCTCTAGCTCTGCCTTAGCCCACCTGAATTTCCTCCATTTCCATTCATTCCCATGAGGTCAGCAAAGTACGCTGAGGAGATACACAGAGGTGCTGCCAGTTAGGAACCTTCCAGTGATGACACAGGAAAGCTGCAGCCTGCACACAGGCAAGGAGCAGTTCCCACAGCCAGGGGGCTCAAGGGGATCCCCTCCTGCCCGTGGCCATGGCCAGCTCCAGGCTGAGCACCCCAGCAGCTTGGGAGCATTGCTGGGTCAGATCAGCCCTCTCCCCAAACCACTGCTGGGTGATTTAACCTGGTGAGAAACATTTTAGGTGGTTCAGAAGCTGCAGGGTGGAGAAGAGGTGGTGCTTTACATTGCATTTACAGTGAGCAAAGTCTAAAGATCATCAACATGGGGGCAGCCCCAGAATAGGAGTTTAACTACAGGCAAGGAAATCGAGTATTAACTGCTCAGCCTGAGGTTCCAACCTCCTTACCTGAGCTGTACTGTACTGTAACCCACCCCAAACAGCAGCACTGCCTTTTGCTTCCTGGAGATCATTAGCTAGCAGGGAGAAGTGTCCCATGAGAGGCAAGAATCCAGCCCATGAGCCACTCAGGCCAAACCTCCTCCTCTCCCCAGCATTGTTCCTAAAAACTAGAGCTCAGCATTAATGGACTGCTTTGTGTTTCTCTTGTATGCAGGTGATGCCCACCTGAAAATGTACTCAGCAGCTCCACAGTTACCTCTGTACAGAGAGTACCAAACATCATAGTGAAATCCAGCTCAGGGAGAGCAGAGGTCTGCCCACCACAGCAGCAGATATGCCTTGCCAAATGGCTTTCCAGCTTGTTTATCCTACTCTATCCTAATGTCAACTGCTCACAGCCTGGGCAGCACCCACCTATTCAGGAGCTGCCTGGCTATGAAATTATTATTATTTAGCTGCTTGCAACATGTGATTCAAGAGACTGGTTTTTCCTAAAGCACTGCACTCCCAGTGCAAACCTTGCCATCACTTTGCTTCCATTTTCCCTAGGCTAAATCAATAGCTTTCAACCCAAAATTGTGCCCAGCTGGACTCAGAGCTGGTGCCTGGCAGCACACCTCAGTGCCACCTCCTTATGGAACCACATCTCTAGAAACATCTACAGAGTCAAATGGCAGCACAGGGGATGTGGGGAGGGCTGGGCAAGGGCAGCTTCACTCTCTGGATGTTGTTTAAAAGTCTCATCAGTGTGACAGCTGCCAGCTTGTGCTCTTCCACAGGCCCCTGCATCCCCCTCCCACACCCCCACAACACCCCTTCCCGACACAATAAAGTAACACCCAAAGATTTCACACTGCCAGAGATCTTCTGTATTATCATCTTCCCTTATCTTTGACTTCCTCGTTGCATGTAAATAACGGAGATTATGGGTCCCTGGTAAATAAATCTGTAAGAGAAAACAAGAGAGGAGAAAGACAGGTCAGGTTTGTCAGTGATTTGTTCCAGTTACTACACTGTAACTTCATTGTCACTGCTGGATGGAAAGGGTGTAGGACACCACTCGCACTGCCTGCCCACTGACCCCAGTTAGTCCAAAACGGGTGCTGTCACATCTCTCTACCTCACAGTGGTTTTGCTATCGATCCAGATAGGAACTGGGCTCAGTTTACAGTCAGTTCTTTCCCAGAGGGACTCAGCAGTGCATGGAGCACACTGTCAAGGTCAGCACACATCCAGCTGCCCCAGTGCAGGGGCTGAGCTGGGGTGGGCTGACTGGGGGCTGAGCGTCGCCCCATCCCACAGGGCTCCCTGCAGCAACAGCCCTGCTGGAACAAGGACAAGTGTTACCATGGCAGAGCCTGGCCTTGAGCATCCACGTAATGCATCCGTGAGCGCTGGCTCCCTGTGCTGCACCAGGAAAGGTGGAACAAGCTGTGATCCTGGGATGCCCTGCACCGCTCGCCCGGTGCGTCAGCAGCAGCTTGGGCATCTCAAGTGGCTCTGCAAGGGGTGGCTAAAATCCAGGTTGGTACAACTGGAAGCAGAGCAGGATGGGTTCACAGCTCAGCCCACAAAGATGCTAAGCACCAGGAATTTTAGGGAAGAGCAGGCAGGCATTTGCTGCCCCAATCCCTGTTCTGGCCAAAGCCCTGACACTCAGCATCCCCCATGGTCCTTGTAGAAGTAGGGGTGCTGTACCCATTCATCCACAGCCCTGGCACTGCACCCACCCATCCTCTCCACTTAGGGACACAGAAATCCTCAACTCCACACATAAGCCACCAGCATTTTCCATCCAATTCGTTTGCAACCCAGAAAACTGCCTGCAGACATCCCACGCAGCAGCAGAGCTGGACCCAGCAAAGGAACAGGACACGCGCACATGATGTCACTTCTGTACTGGAAATACACCCTTCAGGATGCCCCAAACTCCAGAGGAGGGACCAGCAGAGCCAAGGGTAGCAGTTGTGCTGGGAAGCAGTGGTGGTGGTTCCATGAGTCTCACTTTGTCACTCCTCCCTCATGCTACACAGGGGTGGTAATTTTCCAGGAGTTAACATCAGTTTAATTTTTCCTCAAACTTGACCTCCGAGCTCAAGTTATATGGAAAAAAACTGGGGGCTGGATTTAGCTCCCCCCTTCATCAGGGGCAGGTCCCCCCCCACCAGGGATAGGACCACAGGTTCTGCAGAGACACCGAGAGAGCAGCAGGAGAGACCTACTGCAGAAAAAATGCCACTGCCCAGCAAATTACTCCAATCCCTTAGCCCGAGGAAATCTCATTAAAGAAATCCATGCCTGAGGAACACATTTCTAAAGGGAGAGGCTGCTCAGAGCAGAAGGCAGGGTCACGGGCACACTCCTTTTCAGGAGAGGTCAACCAAGAGATGCCACTTTTGCAGGCTGCCATCAGAAAAAAAAAACCCTTCTGTTTGAGGAGGCGAGAGGCACCCAGACATCAGGTCAGGGGCAAACACGAGGATTTTTCTGGAAGATTTCTCCTGTTATGCAGCTTCATTAGCAAGTAGGGCACTGTTTCTGTTTGTGCTTCCCTGGAGTAGGAGCATTTTCAGGGAGGGCTCTTGCTTGAGTAGCCCTGAGCTCACAGCTCTGAGACCCCACTGACGCACGTTGTTGCAGGAGCTTGTTCAAGAGCTTTTAATCCCTCCTCTGATGCCACTTATAGTTTTAATCAGCTCGAATGTTCATTCAGCATCAGCAGGACGTGAACCAGCAGCCCATGGAGTCCTCACCCAGCATGCAAAGGTGACACCAATGCGTGGGTCTCGCAGAGAGGGGAGTTGACAATGGGGTCTGCACGGCAGAGAGGATTCAGTGCAGGGGAGGGAGAGATAACCCATCACCTTCTCGTGCTAACCACAATATCTGCCCCCGTGTGGGAACACAGAGTACCAGGGAAGGGGGCTGAGAGTCTGATTTATCTCCTGAGCCCTTTCTCACGCTCTGTACCTATATTTGCGATGCATTCTTTGGGAGCAACTTAAATCCAACTGCAGCAGTCTCCCCTAGAAGGCAAAGCAGGGCTGACAGTGAACAAACACAAACACTAATACATCTGGCCACAGGTGACACGATCCAATTCACCTGCAGGGCTTCATTTCACCCCAGGTAGAATCAATACTGCCAAGAAGAGTATCACCAAACTTTGGGGTGGCCTTGTGATGCTGCACCTGCTGCTACGGCCGAGAAGAGGAACTGACTTTGCTTCTATTGTCCCATGGCTTTTGTCCTTGCCAAGATCCACAAAACATGCTGGAAACAGTCCAAAGTCAAAACCAACATTGTTTCAGGAATGAAATTGCTGTCCTTAGACTGGCCAGTGGGTAAAACTTGAGCTGAGTGGTACTAACAGACAAGATGTAACTTGATGCAGCACCCCTGATCACCAACAGCTATCAGAGCTGCTGCTGTGTCCCCGGTACCTCTCTGTCCTCCAGCTCCGAAATTCCACAGGGCAGCAGTTTATCAGCGGGCTGGGAGTGGCTGGGCACAGCACCAGGGAGCTCTGGCCAGACAGACACCCGTCATGCAGGGTGAGCAGATGAGCTTGTTCAGCATCACCTCCCGGTGCACGTTGGAAATGCAAAGAGCAGAACAATGCAAATGCAAAGAGCTACTTTCAGCCGAAACTGGAATGATCAAACCCAGTGACAGAGGAGTGCTGGAGAGAACCAGGCTGCCCTCGGCTGTCAGATACCCTCCTGCTGACAGCAGCCCCCAAGATGCTGCAGCAGCCTGCAGAGATTCCTGCCATTCATCTTGAGCATCCACCCCAACATCAGACCAACTGTTTCATCCACAGTGAAAATATCATGGAATACAACCTGCCAAAACAAGCTGCCTTCTACACTGATCACAACCATTGCAGTTTGATGTCCTGTGTGAATCAAAACTATAAAGTTTCTTAAAAGCATAGCAGTCAGTGCTGGGCTAGCAATCAAGAGATACATTAGCAGGTACCCAGCACAACCCAGCCACTCCCTAAATGTACCAGAAAGGCTTTTGTCCTCTTTGCCCAAAAGGCTTTGGAAACAGCTATAGAGACCTGTAGAAAAACTTGGCTTTAAATAAACTTCTGCAGAAGATCTCAAGCTGTTTATAAACTTCTGCCCAAGGTGGGGAAGCACAATATTCAAACGAGAAAGAGAATACCTTTGTTTTCTCCAGGAAAACGTTGCCCACCTCTGCTGGAAGCACTGCCCCAGGGCCACCGGCAGTGCTGGGGAGGAGGGCGAGGAGATAAGGAATCATCTCCACCTCAAGCACCCCCAGCGTCCAGCAGAAATCAAGCCAGAAACACTTTCCTCTCTGAGAACTGACATTTCCTATCTGCATTTTGGAAGAGCAGCAGAGCGTGGAGCTGGCAGGTGCGTGCAGCATCCCTGGCAGAACTAAAGGCAAAGCTGCTGAGACACGAAGCGAAATCTGAAGAGGTCAGCGGCATAGCAAAGAATAAGCAAAAATCCGATTGCCTGGGTCAGGGAGGGTTACAGTTTTCCAGGTTATGACATGAACCAAGGCTGAGCAGGTCTGAACTATCCTGGGGAAGAACTCACTGCATGACCAAGCTACACGCCAGTGGCCACAAATAAGTTGGAAGGGGTTACGTGAGTTTCTCGGTCAACTAAAATTACCTGAGAGCAGAATTCAGGCCCTGCTCTAAATCCCATTTTAAGCTTCTCAAGCAGGTTTCCAATTTAAGATTTGCATTTAACAGCAGCCAGAGGAAGGCTGATTTGAATGCACTACTACACCAGGCATTAGAAAATCCCCGTAGCAAAGCCCACCAAATACTCTGGTGCCCCACGAGTGAGGCAGAGGAACGCTCTGGGCTTGCAGGGAACATATGGCTGGTGCTGGGCTCTATGTGGGCCAAGCGACCACGCTCCGTGTGCCAGGTTGGGTTATGTAAGAGCATCCATGGCTGCTGCAGCTGTGTCACCACGGACAGATCGGTGCAGCCTCATGGATGGAGGGGGGGTGGTTGCAGGAGGCAGCTGGGACTGAGCAAACAGCCGCAGGGTAGGACTGTCCCCTCAGTGTTTGTTATCCCTTCATGTACTATTCCGCAGATCTGCACAGGATGAATTTTCCCCGGAGGGCAGGGGCTGGTTGCATAACTCAGCAGCATCATGTCAGCACAGAGCAAGCCCAGATGGCACAGCCCAGCCTGACCCTCAGAGCTGCTCCCACCCCGGACCGGCCCCCATGCCTCGCCCCGGGGCACAAGGTGGGGTGAGTGTCTGCTCTTGCCCCGGGGCTGGAGCACACCCTTCTTAAGGGCTCACATTTCCGCAGATTCACTCCTCTCACACGAATCCCCAGCCCACACTTGCACTGGGACCAGTATCAAGTCCCAGGCAGCAGCGCTTGAATCAGTTACCTCCACTTGAGACCTCGAGGGTGTTAAGTATTTTGTGCTGTGGGATGGTGCAAAGGGGATGGTCCGTGCACAAGTTTGGACAAACCAACAGAACGAGACCCACCCAATGGGTCTTTCCATTTCCATATCCTTATTTTTCTACATACAGCACAGAGTGTACCTGGGCACACATAGAGGGGGGGATAGGCAGCACATTGTTTTCCATAAGCTCAGGAACACTCAGGTGGGCAGCAATGAGGGGTTTTAACAAAATCTGCCAAAACAGCCCCACCTTCCCCACTACCTGTTGCTGGAGGCTCCCTCTCGGAGCAGGTCAGGCACACAGCCATCAGCTGAGGGCTGGTGAGTGCTGGCCAGGGAAGCCATTTCCTCTCTCTTTGCCCTCTTGTATCCATGGTCTGCTCCAGTCCAGCTGGCTCTGTGTGGTTTTGGGGTGAGGTAGGTGCTGGGGGGCCAGGCTGCAATGCCAGCACCTAACAGGCAGGCTGTCAGAGGTCTCCTGTGATCACTGACAGGCAGGCAGCTCTGCATGAGCCTGAGAAAGGACCTGGGGTAGGAAGAGATCAGCCTCACCACCCCTGGTAATCTGTAATTCTTCAGTTCCATTGAAATGCTTGGCTGGGAAAATCCCTAGTAACAGCTCCTGTTTACAGACAGCTTTGCCATGTAGGCAACACCTCCCAGTCCTTCTGTGTCACTGGTTAATGACAGGGCCAGTTACCCCACGTCCCTGGGGATCCTTCCAGACCATGTGTGACCACCCAGGTCTCAGGATCAGGACCTCTGAGCTTGAGACTATTTAGCTGGGGGGAGAAGGGAGGGTACTCTTGAACAGAGCAGAGCTCAGTCTGAGCACTGCTGTTTTGTAAGCTTCCTTCCTGAGCAGACACAGGTCTACAAACACAGATGCTGGAGGCCAAAGCTTCTCCTGGGTTTGGGCCACTGCAGTTCACACCAAAGGGAAGTCCTACCCTTAACAGGGAAATGAAACAGAGCCACAAGACAGACCCACGTGCCTCGTAGGTGAAAGGAAACAGCTTTGTGCCGAGGCAGATGTGCCACTTGGTGCCTGCTGACAGAGCCAGCTGAGCCCCGAGGTGCCCTGTCCAAGTGCCACAGGGGAGGGAGATGGTGCCAGACAGTGAGGTGCTCCCAGCACGGATTACAGAAATTACACCACATAGCAGAGGCAGAACTGGCAGCTCCCTCCCTGCCCCTGGGGGAGACAGACACCCCCATATATTATACCAGGTGCTCACAGGTCTCTCTGCCACACCCCATCCTGTCTCAGACACTGGCAAGAACCTGTGAAGAGCAGGACTCCTGCCCAGCCTTTCCAACTCCACTGGGCCTTCGGGCAGTGGCAGGACATACAGCTGCTAATTCTATTTCCCACCTCTACTTTATTTTTGCTATTTTTGCAGTAGAATAGGTGAAAACAACCTCAGAAGCACTGCTCTGATGAGTCACTACAGAAATAGCTCTGGGAACATAAGACTCCTTTGTGTCACTACAAAGTGCACTATGGGGCCAGTATAGCAGACAGATTAAGACAAAAAGTGTGAATCACTTACCCAGCTGCAAAGCACAGCAGTGCCCTGCCCTGAATTTAAGCAGCACATGTAACCTGGTCCATTCTGGTTTCAAGCTCAAAGGCATCAGGTCGATCCTGCGGGTTAGCAGCCAACATGTCTTTCAAGAGCTGCTTGATCCCCTCAGACATGGAAGTCCTGCGTTTCTGAGGGATGTGCAGCTCCATCTTTGGGTTTTCTAGCAGCGCTTCCCCAACGGGCACAATCTCGGTCCCCTGCTTGATGTAGGTCCCCAGCAGCTCCTTCTTGGTCTCGGCGTCAATGAAAGTGATCCTCTCAATCATGGCCCAGATGATGATGCCGAGGGCGAAGATGTCAGCCTTGGCAGTGTAGTGTCCTTCCCAGACCTCGGGCGCCATGTAGAAATCAGAGCCACAGGCCGAGGACAGCCAGTACTTGTTCACATTCACATTTTTGTTCTCGTGCCCACCCTCCTTGCCCCGAGCAGTCAGGCCAGCGCAGACCTTGCTCAGCCCGAAGTCGGCCACCTTGAGCACAGGGGTGCCAGACTTCTCTGTTATCAGGATGTTGTCTGGTTTCAGGTCCCGGTGGACGATGTGGTTCTTGTGCAGGAAGGCAATGGCGCTGGTCAGCTGCAGCATGAAGCTCTTGTTGGTCGCCGGGTCGGGTCTTCGGGAGAGCACGTACTGGTTGAGGTCTCCCCCTTCACAGAACTCCATGACGAACCACAGGTAGCAAGGCTCCTCTGCATAGCCCAGGATCCTCTCACCTAACCAAGAGGGATAAGAGAGTGGGTTTTTCAGGCACATTACAAAGTCCATCCTAACCCAGGGCGGATAAGGCATGGGTCTGGTTTAGGTGGATACAGGAACGTGACCGGGACCTGTCACACTGCAGGGCACTGTCAGTGGCACTGCTGTGGCTTCAAGTGCCTTGGGATCCCGTTGAGCACCACGCATCAGCATCCCATTTATCCAAGCCACTGCCTGGGAGCCAGCTCAAGGGACCTCTTCCCAGCAAAGCACAGCGAGTGGCACTGAGAACACCTCTGCTCCAGTCCCACCATCAGGCCATTCTCCCCAGGCTGACAGCCAAGGGACAGAGGCTAAAGGCACAATTAGCAGCAAGTCTACAGGAGGAAAAAAAGTCAGTTCTATGTGAACACCTCCTCTCCCACCTGAGCTCTGCTGCAGGAGGCAAAGGCTGGCTCACTCTGCACAATTTACTGGAACTGCACGTGGGGAGTAACCGACAGCCCTGAACTGAGCCAGTGCAACCTCACTAAGAGTGGTCACACCAGTGTCCAAGCCCTGCAGCCCACGGGGTGTTCCCAGGCCAAATTTGTGTGTTTAGCTGCATTTGTGCTGGGGGAGCTCTGCCACTTCATCCAGCTTTCATTAAGTGCCAACAACTCTTTAACGAGATGAAACCGGAGGTCCAAGCAGCAAACCATGCCTGCTGAGTGTAATCTCAGCCACGCTGGTGACTGTTACTGTTGCTACTACTCAATATTATACCCCAAGCAGCTTCTCCCTTCACCAGACATCAAAGTGAGCTCTTCAAGCTCAGAGCATCTCAGGGTCGATTCATTAAATCTAGGTTTTACTCCATAAACCTCCTGCCAAGGAAAGGACTCTTCTGCACATAAATTAGATGAGTGGAAAACACAGCAGAATCATATCAGCTAATGGGGCCAGGTCTACCACTGGTGCTCCCTGGGGATGCCAGGGTGCCCCAGGGAGCACTGGCAGACCTCGCCCCACTAGCTGGTGCCAAGATGCAAACCCCACTGCCAGACCTCAGGTCTCTTCCATAGAGCACTCAGGCGACAGGCAGAGCCTGCACACACCACCAGAGCATCATTTTACTCTAGAACCTAGCTTTTTTTACCCTCAAGCACCATAAGGGAGAAGCTGGAGGACACCACTCACCTCTGCCACTGTTAACAAATCCCACAGCCAAACTCCAGTGTTTTGAAAGCAGTTAAGTAACTCCACCCATTTGACAAAGTTGAGTTTTGTTTGAGCAAAGCCCTAGAGAGCATCTGGGAAAGCTAAAAACTTCCAGCAGCAGGTAAAGCCAAGGACTACCAGGGACACTCAGCTCTGGGCTGCACTGGTCAGTGATCGGTGTGGGTGGGAATATCGGTTATTTGCACAAACAGTCTGTATCCATGGCTACTGCTATGGAAATGGAAAGCTGCACAACACAAGGATTTGGCTGCACCTCTCTGCCCTCAGCAATCTTCTGCTGAGATTAGGTCTGAAGGTTAAATCTAGGGAATGGAAGAACAGGCTGGAGATACTCAAGGCACTGGGTGCACTTTGGGGGTCTCATTTGGCTGGAGGAGGGCTCAGCTTGCAAGCCCAAGGGCCAAGTGGGAGCAGCACAGGACAGGCTTGGCTCTGGAGACCAAAATGCTGACTAGGAAAAGCAGCTTCTCTGGTGTGAGCCACCCTTTGGCATGACAGCATGGAAACTGCAGCAGAGGCTGCCTGTCCTGGGAGCAGAGCCCTTGGCACAGCCAGGACAGCCCCAGCTCACACCGCTGCCACCACCACACTTTGCTAAATCCAGTGACATCACAGCAGGACACAGGGTTTGGCTTTCCTGCTCCCCTCTGCATTCATACAGCCCCAACCTGGGGAGCAGGAGGGTCTGGCTCTTCTCTGCTGGGAATCAAGCCATGACAGGGAGCACAGCAGAGCCTCACTCCCCTCACACACAGCCAGGTGGGAGCATCCACACAGTGCTGCCGACAGCCCCTTCCCACAGGACGTGGCTCAAACACTGGCTCAGCAGCAGCCAGGACCTGTTGCCTCTGACAAGCCAAGGTTTGTTTTTAGCATAACGAAGGTTCTGATTTAAAACTTGGCCCCTGAACCTCAGCAAGCGTGAGGAGGACAGCGACCCACCAGTAACTGCAAGCACCAGGCACTTCAGTTTGGGTGGAGCGCTGCTAGGAGAGGCTTAAGCCAAAAGTAATATTTCCTCATTTTCTTTCTATAATCTAAAAGTGTTTTAGTTGTTAAATCATCTTCCTGCCTTCAAAACAAACAGCTTTAAACATAAAGAGCTGGCAAGCTGCTTCCTAAAGATGAGATGTTAGCAAGCTGAAGCCAAGCAGCCAAGAGCTGATGACAGGCCAGACCTGTTCTCCATCACCAAACCAGCTCCCTGCCCAAACCCAGGATGGCACACACTCATCCTCCATCCTTCCAGCAGCCCTCCCCACCTATCCTGGGAGCTCATTAGCAGCATGCTAACTTGCTTGGCTTCAGAGGGAAAACAAAAATCTAGGGAGAGCAGAAGCAGCATCAGAGTGCCTACTACCACGTGTAACCTCTGACTCCCTCTGTGCAAAGAGGCTGTGCCAGAGAGATGGGAGCTGGCAGCACCGAGCCGGGTGCTTGGAATGATGGCAACACACATGGGTGATGCCAGGGCAGCCCACAAGTGAGGCTGAGTGCTGGTGGCAAGTTGGTGGCCCCACAGGTGACACACTAGGAAGCAACACCTTATACCTGTTCACTTAAGGGAGCTCTGTTACTGCTATAGGTTAGGAGCAAGAGGGGCACATGGTGCCCTGAAGGTGCTCCTGTATCAGGGCTCTGAGCACATTGCACTGGTCTGTGTCTCTCCTCTAGCTCAGCACTGGGCTTTTAGCTTCCTTTTTACACCCTGCCCTTAAATTTAATTATTCCGCATCTTGTTAAAATGATAAAGGTTCAGGTTCCCGTGCTGTAGCTGAGACCCAACATTGCCCGGGTGTCCCGACAGTTGTGCTCCCAATTCAGAAGGTCTTGGATTAATCCTCAACGTGCCCTGAGCCCCAGCACGTTGGCACAGCATCTGCGCTGGCCCGTAAATAGCCCAGCTGCGGTCGTGCAGAATGGCACGGCAGCACAGCTCCACGGCCACCGCGGCAGCCCCGGCACTGCTGCGCACGGGGAACGGGAGCAGGAGACCTGGGGGGGCTCCTCCAGCTCTGGCTTTTGCTTTGGAAATATTTATCCGTGTCTATCTGGACCCAAGGCTCGGGAAGGCAGCGAGCACAGGCTGCCCCGGCACAGCGTAGCCCCCAGGGCAGGCAGGAGGAGGGCAGATGGAGGGGGGAATGTGCTCTGGTTTGGGGAGTCAAACTGCTCCTGTTCAGCCCGGGGTTGCAGCAGGACTGGGGCAGGCAAAGCCCTCCCTGGGAGTTCAGGGAGCTCAATCCCCACCTAGAGATGGGGGCATCTATGGGGCTCCCTCCCCACCTGGAGATGAAGCACCTACAGCTGCCCAAGAGTTTTCCCCAAGCCAAGCTACCTCTCCTCGGGGTGTGCAACATGACAGAGGGGGTGTGGGAACCCACCCCTGTACCTGCTGAAAGAGCTCGACCTGCTACAGCTGGACACACACCCGAAGGGAAGAGTTGGCTCCTTTCCCAGGGAGCCCTGAGTCCAGGCTGCACAGGAATTCGGACACTGCCCTTCCCGGGGAGCCTCCCTTGGGTGGCTGTGTGAAGGGAGACCAGGAGCTGGGCTGCATGGGGAGAGCAAGGCAGGTCTGGACATGTCCCTCCCAGGGATACAGAGGGGACAGGGAAGGCAGGGGCAGTCAGAGCCACAGGTTTGCTCAGAGGATGGGTCTCAGCAGCCTCACATGAACTCTGTGCCTGGCACAGGGTTTGGGGGCTGCCGATGCCGGGGGCTCAGCTGGGGGGCACTGAGAGACTGAGCCCCTGAGGAGCAGAGAGGAGCCCTGGCACACAAATTTGGGGCAGAGGGATTGGGGTGAGCTGGTTCTGCCCACAGCAGGCTGGGGGGCCCAGGGGGCATTGAGGGCTCCAGTATTTTTCCACATCTTCACGGCACCTTGGCAAAGCTGCGTCTGACAAGCAGCCAAGAGAGCAGAGGGAGGGAGCATTTTGGAGATGTCACCATCACAGCCATTGGCTGTGACAGGAGAAGGTGACCCCTGACAGCCCCGTGATGCTGCTGAGGGACCCCAGGGGAAAATGGGGGTGTCAGCCCGGGCTACAGGCATTGATGCTTCTCCTGGGCTGTTCCCACAGAGCCAGCACTGGGGGGAAATGGGGACAGTCCCAAAGCCACGAGAGTTCGAGGGAGCAGGCAGGGCACCCTAACAGGCTGCAGCCTTGGGGTGCTCAGAGATGGGACATCAGGCAGAGATGGGGAGATGTCCCCTTGGTGTGACTGGGGCAGAGGCTGTGAAGGTCCCCAAGGGATGTGTGTGGGCTGTGGTAGCAGAGGGAACCCCAGGATTTGGGGTGCAAGGGAGGAGGACGAGGTCAGTGCTGGCACAGAGTGCAGGGAAGGGCTGGGGTCACCACACAGGGATGTCCCCCAGGGCTTGGTCTGAGCCTGGAGGTGGCAACAGGGTCCCTCAGAAGAAGGGGATGGGGCTGGGGTGCTGCAGGACCCCCCCTTGCATGGGGCTGCAAGACATGGGTGTGGGCTTAGTGAAGGGTGTCACTGGGAGCAGCACACAGGAAAGGGCAGAGAGGATACACAGGCAGAACCTAAGAGCAGGGCATGGGGGGACAGGGCCCAGAACAGGGATCCTCCAGGTGTGCTCAGGGTGGGTGGCACCAAAGAGGGGCAGCAGAGAGACCTTGTAGGGGAGCCTGCAGGGACAGGATGGAGGTGGGTGATGGGAACAGCAGGGAGCAAGCCTGGAGCAGGTACCCCAGAGGGAATCCCAGGGCTGGCAGGGCTGATGGGGCACCCAAGGGCACAGTGGGGGGAGCCCAGGGGTGGTTATGCTGGAAAAACAGTGAGTTAAAGTGGAGGGAGGGGTGTTATGAGAGCTGAGGGGAGCTCTGGGTGCTCCTGAGAGCAGGCACTGCCATGGAAGGATTTGAGCAAGGGGGTGATGGGGAGCAAGGGAGGGCAGCAGCAGTGCCTGGGGTGGGGGGTGTTGGAGAAGGGTGTCCCATGGGAAGGGGGAAAACACCAGGGTGTCCTGCATGGTGTATCCCGAGGGGGATAAAACCTGGGGGTGGGGTGACAGGGGGATGGGCAGGAGAATCTGGGGGGGGGCACTGATGGCAGCAGGGAGGGTGCAAATGCAGGTGCTCAGGGAAAAGGGGGGGGATGTGACACAGGTGCCAGGGACAGGGGCCCCGGAGGCCCTGGGCGCGGGAGCAGCCCCGGGGGTGCCCCAGGAGGGGGGTCGGTACCTTTGAGGGAGGTCTCGACGAGGCGCAGGTAGAGCTGGCTGCGCTTGTTGCCGTGGCTCATGCGCTGCCCCAGGCCGTGCCGCTGCAGCACGCACTCCTCGAACCGCACCACGTTCGGGTGCTGCCGCCGGAGGCTCGTTAGGGCCCAGAACTCGGCCAGCGCCAGCTCCACGTTCTCGGGGGCGTCGCAGCGGATCCGCTTCACCGCCAGCCGCGCTCCGCTGCGGCCCGACACCGCCTCGTACACCACGCCGTAGGCGCCGCGGCCGATCTCGGCCAGCAGGCTGTACCGCGGGCCGCCGGCGCCGCCGCCGATGCCCGGCCCCACCGCGGCCGCCGCCATGGCCCCGCGCCGCAACGCCCGCCGCCGCCTCCCCGCCGCCGCCGCCGCCGTCCTTTGTGTCCCGCGGCGGCCGCCGTCCATGTCCCCCCCCCCGCCCGCCCCGCGTGTCGGGCAGCGCCGCGCGGGCGAGGGGGCACGCGCGGGGGCACGCGCCGGGGCCGCGGCCGCGCCGCGGGGCGGAAAAGCGCGCGCTGCCGGCCCCTTTAAGCGCCCGGCCAATCGCGGCCGCGCGGGCCGAACCACCGCCGCGCCGGGGGGTGGCGGCGGCGGCGCCCGCCGCCGCCCTGGGGGTCGGCCTCTCCTCGCCGCCGCCGCCCCGGGTCTCGGAGCGGGGCGTCCGGGTTTGCGGCCCCGCGCGCGGCCGCCGGGGCGCGGCGCCGCCAGCGCGGCTCGGCGGGCGGGGGGAGGTGGCTCAGCGCGGCGGCCGGCCCCCCCCGCTGCCGCGCCGCGGTGGTACGCGCCGCGCCGGTGTAAACAGGCCGGTCATGGGGGCCGCCCCGGGTCCCGCCGCCCGGCCCTCCCGCCCCTCCGGGCGCGGCGGGAGCTCGGGACTGCCCCGCGGGGCTCACCTGGGGCGCGGCGGCGGCGGCGGGGGGTTCCGGGCCGGGCGCTGCGCGGCGTCGTGTGAATGGGCGGGGCGGGGCGGCGGCGGCGGCGGGATAAGAGCGGGGCCGCGCGCCCTGACGTAACCCCTTATGTAACGGCGGGGGGTGACCCGCCCCCACCCGCCCCCTCCCACCGCCCCGGGTCGGGCGATGTCCCGGGAGGGGCCCCGTGCACCGGCGGTGGCCGTGCGGTGGAAGGGATCTGGTGCACCGGGGACGGTCGGGTGTGATGCCGCCCGGCGAGTGATGCCGCCCGCCTTGGGAGGCGCCGGTGTCCCGGGAACCCGTGAATTCCCGGGAGACGCCGTGCCGGCAGTAGCCGTGCGGTGCTGGGTGCTCGGTACACCGGGGAACGGGGCGATACACCCGGGGGTGATGCCCCGGGGAGAGGGTGATGCCGTCAGGGAGGTGATTCCCCGGGGAGGGGGTGATGCCCCGGCACCCGGTGAATCCCCGGGACCGGGTGAATCCCCGGTGCGCCAGCGGTGGCCGTGCGGTGTTGGATGCTCGGCACGCCGGGGGCATTTTCACAGCCCCGGCAGCATTTGGGGGCCCCGCTGGTGACGGTCCGACCCCGCTCCCGGCGATCACCGGGAGATTTCAGCTGGAAGTTCCCCGGAAAGTAGCCACCATCACAGGAGGCATCGCCCTGCTGCCCTGCGGGCCGGGACCGGGGTTTTTTGGGGCAGCCCAGGCTGGCGTGGGGCGGCGCGGCACCCACCGGGTGTCCGTGTGTGGGACGTGCATCCATCGCCGAGAGCGGGACTCGGCGACTGCCCCACGCCAGGGCTGCAGTGTGTCCCCCCGGGATGGCCGTGTCCCCCGGGATTGGGTCCTGGCTCCCCGCGGGGCCGCATTTCTCCCGCGAGCAGGGAGTGTGGGATGACCGCGTGGCCACGCGGGGGTCCCGGTCCCACGCACCGCCCCCAAACTGCTCTTCACAACTGGGGTCTCATCCTGGTCCTGGCGGTGCTGGGGTCTGGCAGCCTCCTGGGATCGAGGCTTTCCACGCCGCCGTCCCGCTCTCCGTGGATTTCGGGGGGAGGGGGGGGAGGGGGGAGGATGGCGACGAAACCGCGTAACAGGTACTTTTCCAGCCGCGTTTTCCTGCCCCTCGCGCGGTGCCGTTGGCACCGGTCAAGGAGATCGTCTGCAGAGCCTGTTCACGGAGGAGCTCTCGAAATTCCCTGATTTCTCGCCTCGCTGCTGAGCCATGTGCCGCTGCCATCACGCAGCCCCGGCAGCTCCGGGCTGCGTCACGCCGGTCCCCGCGGGGAGGGGACGGCGACCCCCGGAGCCACCGGTGGCTCCAGCGCGGGGCTGCCCCGCGGTGACACGGCGGCTGCAGCTCCTACGAGTGGTTTGACCTCAATTTGCTTTTAAATGGAGCCACTTCACCTCCCCGGGGGGGGGGCTGCGGGCGCCGCGTCCCCGGTGCCGCTCGTCAGCGCCGTGACTCGCCGCGTTCGCGTGGGCGCCGCTTCTCGCACCGCCGTCGAGTGGCCCTTGTGCCTCCTGCCCACGCAGGGAGGTCACCGTGTGCCCGCTCCCTGCTCCGGTGCCCTCTTTGCCGGTGCAGTCGCCGGGGGTTCGCTCCGGCGCTGTCACGGGCGGTGGGAGATGGTACAGCACCCGCGGGAGGTTTGGAGCAGAAGCTCATCCCGCATTTCTCCCAGTGTTCCTCAAAATGCATCTCCTGCAGGGCCAGGCAGGAGTGTGAATGTTTTAGGAGTTTCTGGAAAAGCCCTGCCCCGCCGAATGGGATAAAGCTGACCGTGCTGGAGGATCCACTGCCAGTCCCGCCGGCAGCGCTGGGTCACGGTCCCGCTGCTCGGGGACAGCCCCGGCGGACGGCAGAGCTTGTCCCAGCCTGCAGGGACAATTTACCCCATCCCGGGATGGGGGGCCGAGCGCCCTGCCTGGTTCGGGGCAGGGTCCCCGGGGGGATACTGGGGGCGCAGGGGCAGAGTGGCAGCGCCGTGTGACGTGAGCTGCCATTAAACTCCCACCTTCTTCCGCGAGTGCCTGGCACGCTCGGCCCCCTCCTCGCCGAACCCGCCTTTCACTCATGTAGTTAAGAAAAGTTAACTTTTCTATTACCGCACATTCCTCTTACCCAGGTGCTTAATTACCATTGTCCCAGGGAAATGTCAGTGTGACTCAGAGACACTTTCCCATTAGGAAGAGACAGATGAATATCAATTAGAGTTGCTGGTGGGTGGGCTGGATCCCAGCTTCTCTCCTGGGGGACCCTGTCACCCCCCACGCCTGCCTGGACCCTCTCACCCAGCTCAGCACACCTGTGACACTTTGCTCTGGGGACAGGAGTAACTCGACTTCCCACCTGGAGCAAAGGGAAGGAACCTTATTCCAAAAGACTTTTCCCTCTGTGTCCGTGGGGTTTGCTCCATCCCTAGGAACACATCTCCCTCCGGTGCAACTACCCTGCACGGGGAGGTGGCTGCACCCCAGGCTGCTGGGTGCATACATAAATATATATATATATAAATAATGGATTTGGTGCAGAAATGGTCCTCTGCACCACATTTGCAGTGCCTGCAGGACAGCCAGTCCCCAGCAGCAAGGATTAAACTGCCAGGGGGCTGCCCACAGCCCCTCGCCCAAGGTGTCAGTGGTGGTTTGCAGCTGTGTTTTTTCTCAGCTTTGTTCTGTGCCTGCACAGACCAGCACAACCCAACGCAGTGAGAGGGGGCTGTGGCTGCTCTCTGCTTGTGTGCTCCACGGGGCCTTAGGTCCATTCCCCCTCAGTGTAGCGCCCGGGGTGGGTTCCTCTGTTGGCCCTGGAGGGGATGCAGGATGCTCTGCCCTTGCCCCCCACCCCATGCGCTGCTCCCTTGGTCCCTCTGTGCAGGCACAGCCCCAGCCCGGATGAGTTAAAATTCACCTCCAAACAAAAGCTGTGGAGTCCCATCTGCTTTTGGGGAGCAAACATGGGTGCCAGTGGAGGTGACCACCAGCCTAGGGGATGGAGGACCACATGCCCAGGCTGCTGTGGCTGCTGGGTCCTGGCTGTGCCAATTGCCTCCATGTCCCTCACCAGTGCTGGGAGAGCTGAGCAGGGGGCACCAGGTCCAGCAGCTGGTGTTCGAGCTGGGAGAACGGCAGGTTGCTGGGAAACATCCCTCTTGAGCTCCGATAAAAATAGCTCCATCTTCAAGGCAAGAGGATGGGCTGCGCTGCCGGCGGCACAGGGGACGTGTCTGCGCCCACCGGGCTGTGGGGCCGGGGCAGGCTGGCCTGGTCTCACAGGATCTGTGCCATGGACCCCCATCCCACACCTCTGTTGTGACACGGTGCAGTGGGACGGTGGTGCACGGGCTCGGGGTGTGCCTGTCATTACCCAGTGCTGCCCTCCCTCACCACCAAATCAGACTTGGAAATGTGAGAGAACAGGAATCAGGGCTGAGCAGGGAAAGTGGGGTGTCTCTGTCGCCCCACACAGCTCCCCCTGCCCCTTCAGCTCATCTCTGGATTTGCTCCCATGAGGAGGGGTGTGGGGGATGTGGACTTGGGGGGAAGCTCAGTGGAGTCTGAACCTTGATTTTGTAGAGATGGGAGGTTTCCATGTGAGGGTTTTTTCACCCAACGGCAGCCAGGCTGGGTGGGTTGGGGGCATCCAGCCTTTCCTAGGGCATGAAGACCCTCTCTCCCTTTCCAGCAGCTTTGAATGGGTTCACTCCTCTCCCTGGCATCTCCATGGAACAGTGCCTCTTCCCAGCCTGGGGAGTGGGGTAGGAGGAGGTCAGAGGGTTTCACTCTCTCATCCTTCTTGGGCAGGATTTGAATTTGGTGGCCAAGGGGATTCGCATCCCCAGCAGCCAAACTCCTCTGGCACACAGCTGTGGGAGACAATGGACCCCATCCCGGTCCCCAGCCACCTCCCTTGTTCAGGGCACGCGTTTCGGCCCCGAGGACCAAAGGCTGGCCCCGACGGAGGTCCCCGAGTGATGCAGCCGCCGCGGTGGGACGTGCACCCCGGCCCCAGGGGCGGCCGGGCGGCTGCGGGGAGGCCTCGGCGGTGCGGGCGAGCGAGCTCGGGAGGTGGCGGGGATGCTGCGGGGCTGATTATTCACAGCTTCCCTCGCCCCGATTGGCTCTGCCGCCGCGCACAGCCGGGCCCCGCCGCAGGAGGAGACTCCGTGGCCATAAAAGCGGGGTGGGAGCCAGCGGACGGCGAGTCCGGTTGGCAACCCGGGCAGCACCGCGAGGCCACTCGCCAGTGTGGCCTTGCCACTGCCACCGATGACTGGCTCAGCCTGACGGCCGTGGAGGGACACCCATCACCCACGACCTGTCCTGACTTGGCGAAGTGGGTGCTCGGCGGGACGGGGAGCGGCACAGGTAGGTCTATTGGGGTTGTCATCCTGCTCCCACGGCATGGGCACAGCTGGGGATCGCTCCTGCTCCCCTAAAAGTGGCTGTTTAAAAACAGCCTGAGCTGCAGTGCTAAGAGCAGATCATGGTTGGGCTTGTGTTATTTTGAAGGGGCTCCCACCTGGCTGCAGGTGCTCCTCTTGTCCTTCAAGTGGTTTTTCATAGCCCATGAACCACTGTCCAGAGCTCTGCTGGGGTTGATTTCCGTGCTGATGCCATGTCTGCCACACTGGCAGCAGGGTCACCCAGGGCTCAGAGGGGCAAAGGGAGCGGGGAGAGAGGATGGGGCATTTCTTTCTCCCCACTGCTTGGCTTAAGCAGCAGTGGTGGCCACAGCAGTTGCTTTTGAGCGATTCTGTTCCAAAAGTTACCAGCTTTTTTGAGCAGCCTTGCCCAGGTAAATTTTAGCAGTGAGGAAAGGAACAGCTGGAAGGTTGATCCTTCTTCTCCACTAGGAATACCTGCAGGGTCCAAACCTGCGTAGTTAGACCTGCGTGGGAGGAGGGATCTGGTCAGTCTGGGGTTGCTGTTCGTTTCCCTCATTAGGAATAATCACAGGTTAATCAAGAGAGGGTTGGTGTCTGCTGCTTGGCACACTCCATCCTGATTCCCCATCCCCCCTTGGGTCACGAGGTGTATAACTGGCCCCTGGAGTGGATGGATGCAGTTTGTGGCTTTTCAAACACAAGCAAAGCTTGAACTCTGGAGACTCAAGTGGAAATGGGGCAGGGCAGGAGAGGATCTTGGCAGGCACCTGGCACAGGTAGAACAGAGAGTGGCCACAGTGGCTGGGACCCAATGCTGGCATTTCCAGACCCTGCCACAATCCTGATGAGGTGTTCCTGCAGGAGGGGTGGCTCCGGAGCCTTGGGCTCCTCCAGGTAACGAAGGATTGAGCTGGAACTCTGCTTTTCTTCTTCCTCCCTTTGTGTTCTTTTTGCTTCTTCCCCCCCCTGCTGCTTCTTTTCTCTATTGTCCAAAGCCCTTTGTTTTCCTCCCGTTTTCCTGCTCCCATTTTTCCAGTCCCCCCTCCCATCCTCAGGAGCAGGCAGAGCACTTCCTGGACCCACCTGGACACAGTACATTTGCTGTGGGGTGTCTCGGGGTGTCCTTGGACACGCTGTGCCCGG